TTGTTCTCGTTCGTCCGTCGCCTGCATTTATCGCCCGAGGCTCGTCGGCCGCCCCTCGGTCGCTGGCCTCTCGGCCCGCCCCTACCCTGGCTGGTTTGGGTTCCCTTGGTTTGTTTTCGCTTGTCCGTCGGTTGCGCTGGTCGCTGCGGGCTCGTCGGCCGCCCCTCGGTCGCTCGGCCCTTCGGCTGGCCCCTTCCCTGGCTGGTTTGAATGGTTTTGGCTTGTGTTCGCGTGTCTGTCGATTGCACTGGTCGCCCCAGGCACGTCGGCCACCCGTCGGTCGCTCGGCCCCTCGGCTGGTCCCTTCCCTGGATTGTGTTGGTCGTTTTCGCTTGTTCTCGTTTGTCCGCTGGTTGCGCTGGTCGCCCCAGGCTCGTGCGCCGCCTCGGTATTTCGGCCCCTCGGCCAGCTCGTTCCTTGGATGGCGTTGGTTGTTTTAGTTTGTTTTTGCTTGTCCGTCGACTGCGCTGGTCGCCCTACTAGACTCTCCAGCCGCCCCTCGGTCGTTCGGCCCCTCGGCTGGCTCGTCCCCTGGCTGGTTTTGTCCGTTTATGTTGTTTTCGTATGTCCGTCGGATGCACTGGTCGCCGTGGGCTCGTCGGCCGCCCCTCGGTCGCTCGGCCCCTCGGCTGTCTCGTTCCCTGGATTTCGCGTGTGAGTCGGTTGCACCTGTCGCCACGGGTTCGTCGGCCGCTCTTCGGTCGCTCGGCCCCTCCACTGGCCCCTTCCCTGGCTGGTTTGGCGTTGTTGTGTTTTCGCTTGTCCGTCGGTCGCACTGGTCGCCCCAGGCTCGCCGGCCGCCCCTCGGTCGCTCGGCCTTTCGGCTGGCCCGTTTTTGGTTGCGTTGTCTTGTTTTCGCTTGGTCGACTGCGCCCCCCCCCCAAGGCTCGTCGGCCGCCCCTCGGTCGCCCGGCTCGGCTGGCCCGTTCCCTGCTTGGTTGTATGAATGTTGGTTTGTTTTCGCGGTCGCTCGTCCCCCCGGCTGGCCCAATTCCCTGGCTTGTTTTCGCTGGTTTGGCTTGTTTCGTTTGCCCGTCGGTTGCATTTGTCGCCCGATGCTCGTCGGTCGCCCCTCGTTCGCTCGGCCCCTCGGCTGGCCCTTTCCCTTTTAGATTGTTTTGTTGTGTTGCTTGTTCTTCCTTGTTCTCCTTGTAGTTGCAGTCCTTGTTCTTGAACAACTAGTTTTGCTTGTTCTTGCTTGTCCGTCGGTTGCAGTAGTCGCCCCAGGCTCGTCGTCCGCCCCTCGGTCGTTCCGCCCCTCGGCTGGCCCCTTCCCTGTTGCTTGTTTTCGCTGGTCCGGCTTTTGCATTGACCGCCCCAGGCTCGTCGGCCGCCCCTCGGTCGCTCGCCCCCTCGGCCAGTCCGTTCCCTGGTTGGCGTTGGTCGTTTTCTTTTGTTTTCGCCTGTCCGTCGTTTGTACTGGTCGCCCCAGGAACGTCGGCCGCGCCGCAATTGCTCGTCCCCTCGGCTGGTAGTTTTCCCTGGCTGGTTTGGGTTCCCTAGGTTTGTTTTCGCTTGTCCGTCGGTTGCGCTGGTCGCCGCGGGCTCGTCGGTCGTCGCCCCTCGGTCGCTCGGCCCTTCGGCTGGCCCGTTCCCTGGCAAGTTTGAATGGTTTTGGCTTGTGTTCGCGTGTCTGTCGATTGCGCTGGTCGCCCCAGGCTCGTCGGCCGCCCATCGGTCGCTCGGCCCCTCTGCTGGCCCCATCCCTGGCTAGTTTTGGTTGTTTTTGCTTGTTTTCGTTGTACAGCGGTTGCGCTGGTCGCCCCAGGCTCGTGCGTCGCCCCTCGGTCGTTCGGCCCCTCGGCTGGCTCGTTCCCTGGCAGGTGTTGTCCGTTTGGGCTTGTTTGCGCGTGTGCGTCGGCTGCACTTGTCGCCCCGGGCTCGTCGGTCGCCCCTCGGTCGCTCGGCCCCTCGGCTGGCTCGTTCCCTGGCTGGTTTTGCCCCTTTGGGTTTGTTTTCACGTGTCCGTCGGTTGCACTGGTCGCCCCGGGCTCGACGGCCGCCCCTCGGTCGCTCGGCCCCATCGGCTGGCCCCTTCCCTGGCTGGTTTTGTTTGTTTTTGCTTGTTTTCGTTTGTCCGCTGGTTGCACTGGTCGCCCCAGGCTAGTCGGCCGCCCATCGGTCGTTCGGCCGCTCGGCTGGCCCCTTCCCTGGCTAGTTTTGGTTGTTTAGATTTGTTTTCGCTTGTCCGTCGGTTGCACTGGTCACCCCAGGCTCGTCGGCCGCCCCTCGGTCGCTTGCCCCATCGGCTGGCCCCTTCACTGGCTGGCGTTGGTTGCGTGGATTTGTTTTTCGATTGTCCGTCGGTTGCAGGCTCGTCGGCCGCCCCTCGGTCGCTCGGCCCCTCGGCCGGCCTGTTCCTTCGCATTCCGTTGGTTGTTTTGGACAGTTTTTTCGATTGTCCGTCGGTTGCACTGGTCGCCCCAGGCTCGTCGGCCGGCCATTGGTCGCTCGGCCCCTCGGCTGGCCCCCTCCCTGGCTGGCGCTGGTTGCGTGGATGTGTCGTTGATTGTCCGTCGGTTGCCGCGATCGCCCGAGGCTCGTCGGTCGCCCCACGGTCGCTTGGCCCCTTGGCTGGCACCTCCTTTGGTTGGATTTGGTTGTTTTAGATTGATTTCGCTTGTCCGTCTGTTGCACTGGTCGCCTCAGACTCGTCGGCCGCCCCTCCGTCGCTTGGCCCCCTCGGGGCTGGCACCTCCGCTGGTTGGCACTGGTTGTTCTGATATGTTTCGCTTGTCCGTCGTTTGCAGCGATCGCCACAGCCTCGTCGGCCGCCCCCACGCTCGTCGGCCGCCCCTCTGCTGGCCCGGCTGGTTTTGGTTTGTCTTGGGGTTGCCTTCGCCTGTCCGTCGGTCGCGCTGGTCGCCCCAGGTGCGCAGGCCACCCTTCGCTCGCTCGCCCCCTCGGCTGGCCCGTTCCCTGCTTGGTCTTGGACGTTTTTTTTTGTTGTTTGGTTTTGTTTTTTCTCCCCCCACGCTTGGTCGCATTGGTCGCCCCAGGCTCGTCTGCAGCCCTTCGGTCGCTCGGCCCCGTTCCACGGTTGGTGTCGGCTGTTTCGGCTTGATTTCGCTTGTCCGTCGTTTGCGTTGGTCGCCCCAGGCACGTCGGCCGCCTCTCTGTCGCTCGGCCGCTCGGCTGGCCCCTTCCCTGTTGTTTTGTTGGAACAACTGGTTTCGATTGTTCTTGCTTGTCCGTCGGTCCCCCTGGTCGCCCCAGGCCCGTCGGCCGCTCCTCAGTCTCTCGGCCCCTCGACTGGCTATTTCCTGGCTGGCGTTGGTTGTTTGGGTTTGTTTCGCTTGTCCGTCGTTTGCATTAGTCGCCCCAGGCTCGTCGGCCGCCCCTCGGTGGCTGCGCCCCACCATCGGCTGGCCCCTTCCTTGTCTGGCTCTGGTTGTTTAGATTTGTTTTCGCTTGCCCGTCGGTTGCGCTGGTCGCCCCAGGCTCTTCGGCCGCCCCTCGGTCGCTCGGACCCTCGGCTAGGCCCTTCCATGGCCGGGTTCGGTTCTTTTTACTTGATTTCGTTTGGTCGTCGGTTGCACTGGTCGCCCCAGGCCCGTCGGCCGCCCCTCGGTCGCTCGGCCCTATCGGCAAGCCAATCACTTGTTTTGTTTCGTTAGTTTCGGCGTGTTTTCGCTTGTCTGTCGGTTGCACTGGTCGCCCCAGGTTCGTCGGCCGCCCCATCGGCCGCTCCACACATCGGCTGCCCCCCCCTCCCCGCTGGCTGGTTTCCGTTGTTTTAGCTTGATTTCGCTTGTCCGTCGGTTGCGCTGGTCGCCGCGGGCTCGTCGGCCGCCCCTCGGTCGCTCGGCCCCTCGGCTGGCCCCTTCCCTGGCTGGTGTTGGTTGTTTGGGATTGTTTTCGGTTGTCCATCGGTTGCAGTGGTCGCCCCAGGATCGTCGGCCGCCCCTCGGTCGCTCGGCTCTTCGGCTGGCTCTTTCCTTGGCTTGTTTTGATGTTTTGGTTTGTGTTGCCTCAGGCTCGTCGGCTGCCCCCCGATCGCTTGGCCCCTCGGCCGCCCCCCGATCGCTTGCCTTTTTGTTGCTTGTCGGTCGATGGCACTGTTCGCCCAAGAGTCGTCGGCCGCCCCTCGGTCGCTCTGCCCCTCGGCTGGCCCTTTTCCTTGCTTGTTTTGGTTGTTCTGGTTTGTTCTCGTTTGCCCGTCGGTTCCCCTTGGTCGCCCCAGGCTCGTCGGCCGCCCCTCGGTCGCTCGGCCCTTCGGCTGGCCCCACCCCTGGCTGGTTTCGGTTGTTTTAGCTTGTTTTCGCTCGTCCGTCGGTTGCACTGGTCGCCCCCGGCTCGTCGACGCCCCTCGGTCGCTTGGCCCCATCGGCTGGTCCTGTCCCTGGCTGGTTTGGCGTTATGGCTTGTTTTCGCTTGCCCGTCGGTTGCAGTCCCCCCCCCCAGGTTCGTCGGCCGCCCATGGGTCGCTCGACCCCTTCGGCTGGCACCTCCCTGGTTGGTTTGGTGATTTTGTTTTGTTTTCGCTTGTCAGTCGGTTGCACCGGTCGCCCGGGACTCGTCAGGCGCCCCTCGGTCGCTCCGCCCTTCGGCCTGCCCCTTCCTTGGCTTCTTTTGGTTGTCCCCGACCATCCTGCGGCGTTGGGTCTTCGTTTTGCAGGGACAGCGCCCCGCGTTCTCCCATCATCCTTCTCACTCCTCCCCTCCCCTCCTCCTCCTCCTCCTCCTCCTCCTCCTCCTGCTCCTCTTCCGCCTCCTCCTCCTTCACTCTCAGCAGCGCATCTTCGAGCTGCTAACGCTGGTCGCATGGTTATTTCGCATCGCGGTCGTGGCAGGACCGCGCATGCTCAAGAGGGAGATGACAATCGCAGGAAGTTGCGAACGTCACCACAGCAAGCGTTTCGACAGGAACTCGAACGTGTCCTCTACCGCGATGACTTCCACAAGACTATCCTGAAGCGTCTTCAAGCACGGTATCCGCTTCTGGGACCCCGCCTCCTCGACTTCACCAGCATAGACCTCAGCAACCTCGACAGCAAGATATGCCGCCTCCTTCTGCACCCACCCAACATCCATCAAATTCCAGCACCGCCGACGCCAGCACGAAGTCCATGAGCTACCTGCACGAGCGCACTGCTGCTTGGGCGGAGAGATGGATTCCGTCTATCTTCATGGGCGCTGGCTACCATAACTACAACGACTGGATGGAGTGGTGCGTCCCGTACGCGACAGCGGTTCTGCGCAGACCGCAATTCGACGCCAATTTCTGCATTGACGACTTCACCGGCAACCTGAACGCCCGCCGTGACATGGCGGTGGACATATGCGAGTCTGCGTGGCAGCGTTCGGAATGCTCTCGCGATCGTCGTCTGCATGTCATTTCTGATCCAGAACCATCAGCTGTTGTGCAGCGCGATCTTGAAGAAGAAGCTGCGGAACACCGAACACGCAGGCGCTGGCTCGAACGTGAGGGTCCCTCGCGTGATGAAGACCGCTGGCTTCCTGACGATGTGAGTGGGGACCAAGCTCATGTCCTACGGCACGAACTCTTCGGCCTTGACGAATGGCAGGAATCGTTGGCTGCGGGGTGGAGTATCCTTCGTGGTCATCTTGCTCGCTCCCCGCCTACGTTGCTGTGGCCTGCCCTCAAGACGCTGGCTGGCGCCTGCACCACAAGCCACCGCATGCACGTGTACCCGATCAAGCTCCCCTGCCTGTATGGCTGTTCGTTGAAGGAGAGTGCCCACAACATCGACGACATCAGCCACTAGATGACCGGCCCGGGGGTGTGGTCACACTTGTGCTTGCCGAGGGGCCAGGTCTCGGGCTCCATCCTGACGCGCATGGCGCTCAACGGCAACCAGGTCGGGAATGACCACATCGACCATGCGATCGCACGTTTCGCGATCGCCTTCAAGACCTACAACTACTTGGGCGTGCAGCACGAGAACGTCGGGCTGCCGACCAACACTTTCCATTACACTGGGATCCACCCCGACGACGAGGACCACCCGAACTCCGCCAACGAAATCAGGGTGCCCCTCCACCGGACGAACATCTTCAACAAGAGCGCCGCGGCTGTTGCCGCCTCTCGCCGTGCCCTGAGGCTCCCTCCATGCCTCATCGGCGGCGCGGGGCCGCGCAGGCGCTAACACGACAGACGTGCGCCTCCCCCTTCATATTGTTATCCTCCCCATCCCCCTTCACGTGGCTCGCAGCCCCATGAACTCCGACAACGGCCCAAGCGGCGGCGTTCGCATGTGTCCCCCGCCTCTCATTTGAGCGCACCCAAAACCAACGCGAATCCGCCACCTCGTTAGGACGGTTGGCTGGCTGGTTAGCTTTTTGGCTGGTTGGTCGGCTGATCGGCTGGCTGGTTTGTTGGGTGGTTGCCGGATTGGTTGGGCGTTGGTATTACTCGCTGCGCGGCCGTCTGATTTGGACGGTCGGTTGCATGGCGCGCCAGCCGGCGCGAAGTTCAGCAGACCACACGCACAACAACAACAACAACAACAACAACAACAACAACAACATCAACAACAACAACAACAACCACATGTACGACTACGACTACTACTACTACTACTACTACTACTACTACTACTACTACTACTACTACTACTACTACTACTACTACTACTACTACTACTACTACTACTACTACTACTACTACTACTACTACTACTACTACTACTACTACTACTACTACTACTACTACTACTACTACTACTACTACTACTACTACGACTACTACTACTACTACTACTACTACTACTACTACTACTACTACTACTACTACTACTACTACTACTACTACTACTACTACTACTACGACTACTACGACTACTACGACTACTACGACTACTACGACTACTACGACTACTACGACTACTAACTACTACTACTACTACTACTACTGCTACTGCTGCT